GGCCCACCCATCGAAAATCTAATTAGTCACTGGATCGGGAATGGGAGCCACGCGTCGCCCCATTTACCCTCCTAGCCACGTTTTATACCTGTATACGTTTAGGGTTTTCTATTTTTTTTAATTCATCCCCACGGTTAGTCGCCTGGCATCGCTATGTGAAAATTTCGCTAAGGGGATTTACTGGCTGGATTTATATACGGGGCGGTGGGGTTATAATTTGTCGGTTGTAAATGGAAGCTTCCTGGCTGGTGTCGCGCGCTTATGCGAATTAGTATTGTTAATTGCTGAGATACGTTCCACCGAATTCCACGTAATTGCGCCGAATTACATGGCACTCCTGGAGGATCGATCCTGCCGGTTCTGGGGGTGGTGCGAGTGGAACCGGAGGGTTGCAGGTTGCAACCCTGTCATTTGCAGGAGGGACAAACGAGAACGAGGAGAGCGAACGATGTAACGCTGAACGAAGAAGGGATCAATCAATTTCATAAAGGCAGAAGCTCTCGCTAAAGGCCACTGTGTGACTTTTAAGCGACCCTTTCAAGCTCCACCTTGGCGAAGCGATAAAGATGCCTGAAAAACGTGGCGGCCAAATTCATGAATCTGATTATCAGACCTGCCCGTTTAGTGCACGCCCCGTGTAACTCGGTGAAACTGGGTCGCGTGTCAAAGTGCGCGAAACCATCCCCAAAGGTGTCCAACTTTTTTGGTGCGAGCTCGTAAATTAAGAGTGGGCCCTGCTATAGGCCATCCTTTTGGCTCTAAATAGAACTGGCAGAGGCTGATGTGTCCAGCCTAGTCTCTCCTCTCCTTCTTTTCGCTCTATCTTTCTGGCCACGTCGACCTGGACATTTCTCACCCCGCCTTACCAGTCCACAGGGGGTGTCTTTTACCCTGAGGCACCGGCAGCTACTCCCTCCCAAGCTAAGGACAATCAATAAGGAAACTCTGATGTGCCTCCTGCACGTGGCCAAAACACGTCTGGGTGTGGACTGACTTCAGTTCTGGATTACAGTTGGAGCGTGGTAAGCGATTTCGGAAATTAACCTAACCTTTTAAAAGACTAGCGTTCCCACCAAAGGCGCAGTGCACGAGGTACCCGTAGTCCTTGGTATGAAAATCAAAGCAACGTGTCTAGGGTGGGTTTTAGAGACTAGAGGTCGATACCCAGTTCACTCAGTCGCAGTTGGATAGGCCAAGATAGTATAAAACACTGTAGGATAGACTAAGGTACCGTAGGACAGCATAGAGTGAAATAGTGTGTTCAAGGGTAGGCAGCAGCTACGGGCATGGAAAGATAGCATAGAACAGGATCTAAAACCTGTGTTTCTATGACTATATGTAGTTCCTACTGCACTGTCGCCGCTCTGGTGGACTAAACCGGAACTCTGAATTACTGGTGAGCTTACCCACGCAGGAAAAAGGTCCTTTCCAGGATACGCCTTCTAGCAGCAGGAATGGCCGATCGATGCACTCGACTCGACCCGAACGTCGATAACACCGTAATATACCTACGCCTTCGTAACGAACACCCGACGCTTCATTTACCCAGGCGTATTGGGGGGTCAATCTCTAATCGCGATGAGCTTGGATCTATCCTTACGTCTTGAATATGATTTATATCCTTCCTCTTCGATCACGGATCGCCTTTCAGTATTTCTTTTTTCTTGTTAAGTCACGAGCGAACAAGTCACAGACTTCTTTCCCTTAGCTTTCCTACTACCGGGAACTTAATATAAGATAATTCATGCAACTGAGCACTTTTTATCCTGTATAAAACTTCAACGATCGACTTCATTTGAAATTTAAATGGAAGATCCACAGGGGCAGAACGAATACCGAGCTTCACGAACAAACTCTAACGATCCGACCCGAAGATTCGTATCGGACTTCAAGATTTTCTATACGTCTCCCTCTCCTTTCTTTTTTGTGTTACCCTTTCTGCCCTTATTTTTGTTAGAATTCTAGCAAAATAACGAGTTCAATTCACATGACTTGGGTAACTTCCTAAGCGTTTCATAAATAATTCACTGTAGCTGGATCATTAAGAGATCGATATCAAAATGCTTTTGTCCTGCTACGAAGTCGCCGTTTCTAAAGCAATGAGCATAATAAAGGAGTCATAAAAAGAGTTAGACTATCCTATAATGCCAAGCCCGTTCCTCTCGTTAAAGAAACTTCAGAGTCAACGAGTCACGTACGAGTGCTATACGTAAAAGCGAGTCTAAAAAGAAAAGAGTATAAAACAAAAGGGGGTATTAAAAAAGAGAGAAAAATAATCTGTCGAAAACTTACCGGAAGCCTGATCCACTTCCGACTTACTGTCGGCCATAGAATCGTGGCTGTTCTCCTTGATCTTCTGCCGATGTCCTGAATTAATCTCCGTTCGATTATTCGAACCGTCCTGCTGATTCTTATGATGATCGTTTCTCGGATGATCATTACGTTCGCTCAGCTTCGTTATCGACTGATTAATTTTATCATTGTTGGCGTTACAGTTCCCATTACCATTCGCATTGGTGTCACTCTGTAATTAAGAAAAGCAAGGGTCACTTTAACCAGCCACTTTTGAAATCTTTAATTTTACAATCAATTACCTCGTATTATTCGTTATTCATTTTAATATCTGGAAGCTTACCAAGGTAGTCATACAGGAGGATGTCGAGGATGATCTAACGACGACAATTCGATTCTGATTGTGATCGTTTGCCGAGAGAGTGGAGACGGTGCCGTTCGCAAGAGGACGATGCTCATGGCCACCGTGGCTGTTGGATCCAGCAATCGTATTCGAAGTGGTGGTAACACTGGTTACGCCATTTCCCAAAGAAGTTTGCCTGATCACCAAAACGCTGCCCGCTGGCTCCAGCACCACAACCTGTCTCATCCCCATCTTGGGTTGGAGCTCCTTCTCTATCCAGGAACTCCTCTCCTCTTGTTGGCTCTTCCGGTTCCTGATTAGTTTCCTGAAGCCGCGCTCCTCTCGCAGCGCCTTAATCTCTAGAGGATCCGCCTGAAAATCGGCTCCTCCTGTAGAAACGACAGTGGCGTTTTGTTAATTCAGCAACGTCTTCTCCCGCAGTACCGCTACTACGTGATACCGTAGATGTATTTGTCTGGGGAAAAGAAAGAAACATAAACTTTTAAAGAATTAAAATCACGAGGAAAAAGTTTTGTAGTTACATTTATTATTTGTCTACGGACATTAGAACGGTTGGGATTGCGTGTTCGAGAAATGTTAACTTGTTATTAATGAACTGATGAACATTCCAGCTGGTATCCACGTGGAAAATCTTTCTGCCGGTAATTAATGAACCGCAGAACGTTCGAGCACTTTCCGTATTAACATTTGAATGAAGCCTGCTGCCCGCGTGAAACTTTATTCCTCGCATAATTTCTTTCTGCAACAATATTATCAAGATGCGAATGCCCGAGTAATCCTTGCAGCATTGTAAAGAGTAGAGTGAGCCTTGATAAGGACAATTTAATCGATACTGACATTATATTATTTTTAGTATTATTAAGCAAGCAAATAAATCCTAGAAACTCATCCAGAAACTTTCTATAAAAATATAATCCTTTTTTTTTTTCAACAGACAAGTCAATCTTGAAGATTTAAAAAATTCAAAGCTCTTCCTCCTTCGTATCGAGCAAACGCAAGATCCAAACTCCGATCATTATTCAAGATACGTAACTCTGCCAAGAAGATGGCCAATGTAACCAAAAAGCCAAGAAGAACCAATGTCAAAGCGTGTTTCTTGGCAAAGAAGGTAACACCGTTTGAATACGCCTGTATCAGTGTAAAATAAGTTAAAGTGCAAATGGAAAGAAAGAGTGAGTGAATGTTTCATTTAAGTCAAGAGTCTTGTAGGAAAGGAGTCTGGGAAGGACCAAAGCCAGAATTGGCAATTCCATTCAGTATTTTCTTTCCGTCCTCAAAAAAAAAAAAAAAAAAAAAAAA